TTTAGGAAAACTGCGATATCTCAAATATCGTGCCAACTGAAACACGAGGCGGCCTTTGCGCGGCAAATTTGGTTGAAGAATATCATAAACGAGAGATCCAGCGGAGTCTCCCGTGAAAACTAAATTGATATGCAAATGAGTGTGTTGGCTGTTATCATATATGTTCATAGTCTTTCTGACCCTATTAGTGGTTAGGTTGTTTTAATAAATCATGGATCCAGTTTCTATATTTGAAAATCTCCTCTGGTCGAATGAATCCAGGAGCTAGAAATCATGGATGTCCTCGACAGAACCTGGAGATATGCCCCAGGTGAGGGTTTAGACTTAAAACTACAATATTCCTTCACTTGAAATCAGATTCAACATGGCTGCCATTGAAAGGTGTTTTTCTATGAAATCCAAGCCATGGGGTAACAAACTAACCGATTCAATGCAAGTGTTTTGGTCCATATCTCTATTCGAAATAGACAGTAAGTTGGCAAAACTCACCAATTTCGTCGTCCCCATTCCCATTGGTTGGGCCGAAAATCCCATCGGAGCGGGACTGTTACTTGCTGTGTTTGCCCCGGCCAAAGTACCCAGACCAACCCCACATCCATGTCCACTTGCGCCACCACAGCTGCTGTTACTACAGTACACTCCATTGGAACCATTGACTGGCATAAATCCACCCGCACTTGCACGCCCCCCGGGTACAGTGGAACAGTTCATGCAGGACTCTGGACATGTTCCTGAACTGCTGCCGCACGCACAGCTTTGAAAACAACCACCATTAGGGTTTGGGTTCAATCCTACTGGTGGTCCCAAAGCAGTTGGACCTTTAGCTTGTAGCAGACTCGTGGATGGTGGTCGAGTCAGTCGACGCCGTCTTTGACGCAACAAGGTACGGCAAACCCACCGTTCGTGCACCACAGCCAAGCAAACGGACACGAGGATGAACAAAAAACAGATGAGGCACCATACACCAATCAATCCGAATAGGCCGGTGTGAGTTGGGTTGCTTTGATTCAACCAAGTCCAGAGGCCGGACATCAGGATTAGCAGTGCAAGCTGTAGCCAAGTGGACTCGCGCGTCCCGATAGGCCCATTCCATAACAGGATCAAAGATGTGACAGCCAGAATCAGTGGAACCAAACAGTTGTGTATCATTCGGCCAGTTTGGGCGAAGCACAAATTGATCCCGAGGTTATGGTCGGACCCTGTTGAGAGAGTAGAGTGAAGAGTATAACCAATAAAACGGTTGAGACAAGTTTTGTCCTCTACGCAGCAGCAAGCTGATCACTTCAGTAAGAAGCCTAAAATCAGAGATTTCAGTCGAGCGTGAAGATGGAATTAAGCAAACAGACAGAAGCTCTCCATTCGTCGTTTCGCTTTGAATGTACAACTATCGATTTTCAAGGTCAAGCTCCCTATTTCAGACCACCATCTTTCTTTCCGAGATATCTGTTTCCAAACTCAATAAGCTGCCCTATATGTGCACACTTTTAAAGCAAGCAAACGAAACTCTTTGGGTGTTTTGCAACATTCTGGGATGATACAAAACCTTACTGAGGAACACATAAGCAGATTAACCTACCTAATGCATAAACAGATAAATTGTCCTCTTTGTTGGTGGGTGTTTTTTAAAATTGCTGTTTTCTCTGAATAAGCAGTATGACAGTAGGTTAAGAGTTAAGCCATCTCAACGGACTGGTTCTTTTGTCTTCCCGAGGAACCAAGAATTAACAAGCCACGTATTTCGAGTACCCTTCTATGTGCTTACTTTGTCTTCTTCCTAGATATACGGGAATACTAAGGAATGGCCCACCAGATTTTTAAGGGTTAGTTACTAGTTCACCCGCAGTTTGGGTGTGAACAGGCAGACTGTCACGACATACGTGCTTCGTCTGTTATTTCTAGTGCAGCTTTCATCCACACTGCTTACCGGCCAGTCAGCTATAAGTGTAATGTAAAATGATGGTGAAAATTCTCGAGGACATTAGTTTTTATGGATGAATGTGGTGTTAAAGTTTACTTCTTTCGGAACAACTACGACGGATCGAGGAAGATCGATGAAGATTGACTCTTCCAACGTACAAATCCACCGATCATCGCTGTAATTTTGACTGCTACGTATGGGTTGATTGGATGAGAAGATCCAAGATGACTGATTACTTATCGATGGGTGTTGTTTTGAACATTTTGTGATGCTTCGCTTCGTCAACAAAGGGCACAAGCGTTCCATAGAAGGCACTCTCCTCAGAAAACATGACAAAGGAAAATTCCGGCACGGTTTTATGCTGGTAAAATACAACATCATATGGACTATCAAAATCACTTTTCAAATGCGTTTCTGTCCATCATGTGAAGCCAGTTCATACTGACAAGCCGAGAAGCACTTTACAGCTGTTTCATCCCTTTTGAGAATAATCGACACTGCGCATCACATAGTTCATACTACAAGCCGAGAAGCACTTTACAGCTGTTTCATCCCTTTTGAGAATAATCGACACTGCGCATCACATGAAGCTCCAGAGTGTTTCGTACCCGACCTCCCGACTACAAGTTGGAGCACCCAACCGTTGGGCTACGAGGGTCACTCGGCATTGTGATAAACCCAAACTGAGGCTGGAAATAATACCACCCATCCTTCAATCACGTGGTCCACATCTCGGTTTCCCGGTATTTCAGCATAAATTAGTTTCACTTAGAGGACAAAATCCCAGTTAAAATTGTCAAATCTCCTCAAACTACCATCAAGATCGCGCTTTCCCAAAATCCGTTCATCATGTTTTTTACTTTGTAGTCTCAACTACTTTCCTGATTTTCTCAACGAGTTCTCCCCTTTGCATGAATTGTGCGAAGTTTCCAAAACTTATCATTCATCTTGTGTATCACCTGAGATTCTAATTAAACAGTTTACACACTAACCTTACGTTGTGCTACCTACGACATATTGTCTTAAATAAACATCTTTTGATGCATTGTTTTCCTGGAAATTCACTTTTTCTCTCGGAGTATCCACTCGATATACTTACAAGGAAATTGTCAACCACCGGTTTTGATTGTTACGCTTCTGTCATTCGTCCCATCTTTCGTGCGTATTGATGTTCCATTATTGTTCAGGTAACATCGTTACATTGAGTAGGATGTGCGGTGGTTTTGAACATCACTTGTTGATTAGCACGACGGACAGCATAGTATGAGGCTAGACACTGTGATTTGTGACACATTATTGAATATGCCACCCTCCCTGAGTGTCATTCGTGGAGTTACAGCGAGCTGTCAGCCTGTGTCTACCTGTGCATCCATAATGGCACACCGTACGTACTCAGAATTTTATATGAATTTTTAACATTCAACCGTATATTCGGTCGGCACAATTGCCTGTTAGCTAGAGCGCAATCGGATATGTGTTGAAAAGCCAATGGCTTGAAAAGCACTGCTTGGGCTGTATGTCTAGAGAAGAGGACCAAAGGTATTCCGAATTAATCCCACAAACCGTTTTATTGACAAACAACCGGCAATCTGTGTTTCCAAAACGGCTAATTTATGTTCGCCACAAATCATTCAAGTGTTCCATGACACAAGTCGATAATTCCACACGGGTACTTTTCTGTCTTGATGAAAGGAACACTTTGTCATTCCAGAAACCATTTGTGTTTATATTTGGTTACATAAGAAAGACTGGAGGTTTTTCTACTGTCGTGAATGTACACCAGTGTAGAGATATTTGTAGAAGTTTACATAACGTTGAATGATATGAATACCATTTTACCAGCACCTGAACACTGAGACGATGACTTCAAATGGTGGAACCAATTTAAAGAGACATGAGCTGAAGCAGTCTCACTTTTCGTATTTGGTGCTAGAATACTATGGAAACTGTGTCTGGACCGTGTGAAATTCATTTGCGTGATTCACAACTCTTGAACTTTAGCCACTGGAATGGACCACGATGTGGATGAGCGACACTTACTCTACTTTTGTCCACACAAGAGAAACTCGTAACATCCAAATATTACTAAGCCTTGAGGTCACCAGACTTTCGAGCACGAAATTAGCATTACACGTCTCGTCTGAGTGGAGTTGGCGGCGACCACCAAAAGATGACCGGTACATCAGTTTGTACGCGCAAAGCTGTTGAGAAGACGCTGAAAAATGATGTGATGTCCATGTGTTTCCGACAGAGTCACTTGAAGTTAAGGTCAGACCACGCAAAATTTGTTTCGTATAGATGGGGCTGGAGTAATCAGAAAGTAATGTTGGGATATACTAAATTATGCTGCAGATGATCCGGTGATGTTGCAACTGCTTGATTCATTATTGTAGATTTGTTTTTCGAAAAAACCTGAATTGGACAGGAACCTGGTTCCCTTTGAAAAAAGTTAGGTTTGTTCGCTGGAAGAGATTAGAAAAACTAGGCTATTGAAATGAATTGTTCATAACAGACACTTTAGACCTTTTCGGCGGTCGCTAAAAAATCTGCAGTTGTGGAAGTGATCGCGCAACATCAATGCTAAATATCAGAGCTGGAGCTGTGTGATAGACGCCACAATCAAAATTTCTCCTTAGTACGTCAGATTCAATCGGCGGAAGCATCAAAGAACGCCAGTGACAACATGCTGTCACGCAACTCGACGTGTTTATACCGGAATCTGTCTGCTTCTCTGTATGGAAATGGAGTGATACCGACACCGGACAACTGAGTGGTCACGTCTAGTTTTTTTTACAGACAGATTCTTGCGGCGCGTTTGACGTACGATTTGATGTAGCTACGTTCGTCTGAGAAACCCAAACAACTAGAACAATGTGAAGTTCTAGTGAGGAAATGATGTTGGTATAAAAGATGGGTATAACCAGTGTTTTTTAAGTCCCTTAAAAATAATAAAATATGAATAGCAGATATCAATTTTTTTCGCATTATACAGAATACTGGCAAGTATAGATGGTATCCATGCGCGAAGACAAAAAACAAGACAGGGAGATTCGAAGGCGTAATTCATCTGAGACGAAATTTGGTTGAATAAATTGAAATACATGCTTGTTTTATAAGCTTCGAAGCTGCCGCCCTCAAACCTTAACTACAAGCCTAAATGTTATTTTGCTAATTTGCAAGGACATGGCTTAGGTTTGCTTTAGTTTCCTGTACGAAGCAGCTCGAATACTTGGATTCGGGTTATCAACTGTATTGTTCAAAAGCTTTCACTAAAAATCTGCTCCACTTGATAGAGACAGCCAAATGACGTCTTGATCACTTTTGTTTACCCCTCCTGATTAATCTGGGAGCCACCCTTGGCTTAAAAAAGACAGTGTTAAGATTCCACTTCCGTCTGGAGTTTTGCCTTTCTCAGTCAAATCAGATGACTCCATAAATGTAGATTACTTCAGTTGAGTGTTTCAGGTTCCAAACTTAATGGAATATGCTAATTCCTGAATGAGCTCATAGAGAAGGTGTTAACAAGTGAACTGATGGTCTTGTTGCGGCTCTTTCGACTGCGCAGTTTGAATTATCACCGTAGCTCTACTGTAAAAAATTGTTTTGGATATACACTGGTCACCATGCACAAAAATCTACTTCTCTCAAGCGCAGTGTTCCTGAAACCAAGAATATCGATCAAAGTTCATAGATGGCTCTAGTTGGCTCTGCCTCACCTGTGCCGAACGAGTGGACGTTCTGTCAAAAATACGTCATTTATTTTTTCAGGCATCAGCTTGAACGCTCACCGTTTAAATTGCCCTGTAAAGAGTGAGCCAGATTTAACTGAAGATTATTTTGAGGTTTTCGTAATTACAACGGTCGTTTCTGTGTGTAGCGCAGAGCTCACTGTGAAGAGGTTGTCGGCTGAAAAGAGTTTGAGAAGGATACCAGATTGCATCGGTATCTGGTCATGACAAAGATGCACAGTGACCTTGAAATACCTAAATACAGAAGAAACTAAGAATTAACCGAAAAAGACTGATAGTACAGTTTAATGGGCTGTTTCCTTCTAGTCATAGATATGTATATATGGAAGCAAAGCGATAAATGGTAAACGAATGTAGATATGTTGAGGGTTCTAATTAATTCGAAACCATGTCCTTTTTAGTGATCGTTGCGGCAGTTTCTCAAAAAGAATTAGGATCAAAATAGCCAAAGATGTAGGATGACGGGTTATTGACTGCTTAAGATCTACCGTGTAGATTGATCAATCGGTGAAATTGAGTCACTATCGGTAGGTGGATAACTCCAAATGCAGTCTCGGGTTGATTGCGTGAAACAGCGACCCAATACGCTCTAAAACGCTAGTGCTTCATTTATTTGCTTCGATTCTTGGTTAACTAACATTATCAAACATCCTTTTGCAAATCACCCTTACCTGTTACGACGTAATGGGGAACTTTGGAAGAGATCCATGCTTCTCAGTCTTTGTGTTCTCAGAGCGAAGGAAATGTCTAGTTAAGATGAAGGTGTTTATGCTCGCCAGACGGATACTTAGGCTTGGCGAAAACGGTAAATATCCACCCGTGGATTCTGCGTTGTTCACCCACGGCACATAGCTCGAAGCCGGTGCAGCCAGTGGGTCACGTACTCGGTTGATCAGAATTGATTCATTAAACTTATTTTAGGCTTTCGGTTAGTGCCAAGTACACCTGCAACTACATATGCAACTCAATGCAAATGCATAATGCTTTGACGGCATAGGCACCGCATCACTCATGGATGACATATGAATACCATGCCTCTGCAGTTTCTGCCGCTGGCAAGCAGGGGAAAAAGTATTTTCTCTAAGGGGCACCACTGGAAACACTTTGGTCTGCTGCATGATTGTCTTGCGGTGAATTCCGATCTAAAATGATCCAAAAACTGCATGATGTGGAGCAATAGGCTTTGTCTGATAAATGTAACTGACAATGGTCGTGATGTATGCGCGGTTCTCACAGATTACTCGTCATGAATACAGCGCAATGATGACAAGACTTTTAGTTTACTGAAGACAAATTCTGTTTTCTGACGGTATCAACTTTTCTTATTCGTAGTCGGGTATACAAAATGGAGGACGATTGTTTCAGGTGTCTACTTTGGAAGATACTGCACGTTTTGGGAGTTGGTCTGTTGAAAATGTGAAGCACTCTAAAGCATCCAATGCTCAGGTCTTAGGTACACATTTAGGAATCATAAAAGTAAGTAAGCAATGTATCTTAATGCAATCACAGATATTCGAGCGCATGGAAAGTACAGATTTCAATCTTACCCACCTTGCTTGTCTATGTGGGATCCAAAAAGTTTTGTCAGTGTGACATGTGAGGTTGCCTGCATTGTGTCTTCTGACAGTAGGCAACCCCTTCTTTCTGTCCATTTGATTGCGGGCTGTGTTTGGCGTGACCCGTCTACAAAGAAGAAACAGCAACTCGCTTAGTCGCATAAACGACAGGGCATGACTTTCGTATTTACGGAGTAGAAGTCCAGGAGCAGCAAATGACTGGGGATGGCGGTTAACATCATCATCGTCATTATCGACCGCATGAGATCAGTGTTCAGCACCGATGCTTCGCTACCGTAAAGGCGGTGTTATGGTATCATATGGAAGGCGGTCAACATTTTATTTGATACCGTAAGACTTATAAGGCAAACAGCTGCTAGAGCATATTAGTGGTGAGTATCCTCCCTCAAGACAGCTGCAGTTAGACTCTATGTCACATGCAAAACAAAGTCATATATCTTATAAAAAATATAATGAAATAAGCAAATATGGATGAGGACGTACTTGTGAAGAAGCAGTTGATGTAACGTTCGGTGAACGTTTGTTGATTCCTTCACACCTACCGACACTTCATGACTCTCATTCCACATTTCAGACACTACGTGGAGTATAAACTTCACCTGCATTTCCCTTGATATTTGCGTCGGATCTGCTCAAAGACCTGTGGTACAATCTTGAATGTACGTTCGTATTGAATCATTGCTATGTATTAGCCATTGACACTTCTATTCGATCAATAACCGTTGTTTATTTGTTGTTATTACAGAACCATACCGAATACAACGACAGTCTTCTCGACTTAACAAAAGACTTCGGGTGCGTATACTCATATATTATCTCAGCCGCATATCTTGCATCAATCACCTAGGTTTAAAGTGAAACCTAAAGTTGACACTTGATTAAATCTGCGTAATTTTATTCTAAGCTACTGCTCACCGGTATCCAATGGAACGGAAGCGTTTCCTTTTGCTGAAAACGTCTAAATTTGTCATTTGACATTTGCTATCGAAAGTTTGCAAATATTCCATTCGTGCTTAGACTATGAATTAAAAGCTTTGGTAGACTTAGCAGAAATCAGTCGTGAATAGACACCTTGTCTGCTGACTTTTTAAAGTGAGAAGCTATTCACCGCCACTGATGAATTTTCCAACTCAATCCATTTTCGATTGGGGTGCATTTCTTTGACTTCTACACGGTTACCAGTGGATCTCTGGATCAAACAGTGGACAGTGGAATGGACTAAGACATTCGGTTAATTTCCAAACAAGAACTAGTTTGAAGATAACTTTTGTGTATTCAAGTCTCTGATTTTGATGCACTTGTCCTCTGCAGAAGTTTTGGCGTTTGCGCCAGAAAAACCCTGAATACTTGCTCTTTTTTTATCAGAACGGAGTAGAGAAATACGTGTTAAGTGTCTCGTAACTAGGTAAGATCAGATCAGTGATCTACTCAAATTTCATCCGCACGGGCAGAAGATCTAGAATTCATTACCCCAACGCCTAATCATTCGCGAAAGTTGTCTGATAACAGGTTTAAACTAATTTTGACCCACTAAATCTCTCGAAGGAACACAAAGACGTGGTCAAGCGCCAATGGAGTTGATCTTTATGTTTCTTTGGTCACGGATCCAGTAGGTAATTCTTCTCGCTCAGTCAGACTCCTTCAAGACCACTTGTTTGCAACCAGTGCGCTTTGAATTTCTGGAAAACTCACAAAACCTTCGCTATTTCTCTGCCGTCGCCTTTACTTGAGTAAGAAAACCTTAGTTCACTTCCAGTCTACATCACAATCTTTTAGTTTGCCTACGTCTGATATATCTCTGACGACCATCACCTGATAAATCTAACAGATCAATCTTTTTGCTTTCACTTTATTGTCAAACGGCGAAAACCACTATGCACTACGTAATATTCTTGCCGGTGTGATGCTCTACCTCTGCCAAACTTGTGCGTATACAAGTTACCTAGTGAGGCCGAAGTTCCACCACCAAAGTGGAGTAATCATGTAAGTAACGGGAATAAAAATGCTCCTCATATGAGAGTGCACCTTATTTGCGGGGGTCAGATAGCCAAAGAAAGGAGCACAAAAGACCTTGGTATCACCGTTTGTTTGATCTAAAGCAGTTCTAAATAACCAAAGCTTGGTAAAAACATTTCAGTGATAGCTTTTCTCTTGATGGGATGAATTAGATTTGGCACACTTCAGCCATGGTCACAACAGTACTGACCCAAAACTAATCTAATACTTTTTCTCTTGATGGGATGAATTAGATTTGGCACACTTCAGCCATGGTCACAACAGTACTGATCCAAAACTAATAGCTCTTCTATGGTCGTTTATTGGAACTACCCTTTCTGAAGTTTATCAGATAAGAGCAGTCGTTGATCCCTAATCAATCTAAGCTCCTGGTCGGGCATTAGAGTCGACTTAAGAGGAGTCATGCCTGCACTTTCAAATATTGTCTGCTTTAGCGGGAGACTCAACAAAATCTCGGCTGAACCCCTCATTCTCGATATTCTTCTATATCGTTCCGACTGAGCCACGAGGCGGCCTTTGTGCAGCATATTAAATTGATGGGTACTGTAACTAAGAGCTTCGGCTGAGATTCAGTTGAGCCACCAGTCAACACCACTTAATTTTGTGGTCAGATGACCACTCCATTCTGATTTAGACTGGCTGTGGATATTCCAGGATCTAAAATAAGTAGCTAAAATAAGTAGCTAGTTTAGGCTCACCTTGTCTAATCCAGATTGGACAGAGTGTCGCGCCAACATGGGTAAGTCTCTTCGGTTGGGAGCATGCAACTTCGACAGAATAACTTTGTGGAGGAAAACGGAGGTTATAGAAATAGTGAGTTAATAAATTTGTAATGCATTTACTATGTAGCATTTGGGAGTTTACAGGTAAACAGTTTCAGAAGGACTAATTAGGAGTTTAACCTACCTCTCAACGAGAGCATAATGAGGGCCCTCACCTCCGCCACCACTACCTGTGAGTTTTGTTAGCTCCCTGCGGGGAGTCTGCCGAAGCGTGCTATCCCCGGGTAAATCTTGTTGACTGAACGATGATGAAATTCTTGGAGCTCCACTTGGCTGCGCCATATTTGGACGGTTCAAGGAACCCTTTGCCTGCAGTCCAGGTGAGGCGGCTTCTAATCCTGCGGGTGATGTTCGTAGTTCCAAACGTCGCGTGAGCCTTTGGAAATGGTAACTCCCGACAATCACCAGATCAGGATGCCAGACACGGTCCGAGTCTAGACGTACACCACCGTTTATTAGTTCCATCAGTCTGCTGTCAGCCACGCGTGCATCTGTCACCGGCCACTCGGACAAAATTGTCAGGCTTGCATGACAAACCTGTCGGAACATCAAAACAAGTGAGGTATAAGTCGCACATCCAACCGCTGCTAAGCTTTAGCTAAATATTCCTCCCATAAAACTAACTATGTATTTCCTGTTGTTTAATAACAGAACCCTCTTGACATCCGTCAAGAAGATAAAACAGATTAGACGATGAGGAAGACATCAAGGGGAATGAAAAAGGAAGAAGCCATGGCTGCTGCTAAACTGATATTGTACTCAAATAAACAAAAGTATTTTCTAAGTATCCTTGAGGATTTTTCCAGGTTTCGTTTACTGATATCCCATACAAAATGTCTCCTAGCTGACTAAACCAAATAGAGTTCGACTGATTTTCATTTTGAAAGGGAACTCACGTTCAGTGATGTCTGTTGTGGTGACGGTCTTCATTAACAACAACACACAGATTTAGTCCCTTCTAACATCTCTGGTTTAATCAAAGTTAATCGGCTTACTGTCTGCTGACGAGCCCGTCAAACTTCTAGTGCTCGATCGTCATAGGCAGTAAGACACCAGAAATCACGCTAATTCTCTCAACTAGCTTATTTATTGTTGTAAAAAGAGTACAGGATATGATTTCTTTAGCATCTCGGCACAAAAGATTGCGATTAAATTGACATTCTACCCTTATGAATCTTAGGCACATCCACATAATCAAATCTTGTAATATGCTGCAACGGGCGAATTCGAACGCAAAGCTTTTCATTCTGAAAGCAATTGTTTTCGGCTTATTTACATGCGGTTTTCCTCGTTGGCTACATACTACTTATGCATAACCTGCTTGCCTAAGAGGAACATGAATTATTATGAATAGGAACCGGAGTGCATACGAGGGCAAACTGAAAGACAGATTAGCAAAAACATGTGGCCATTTTAGCCCCTATGTAAAATGACACAATCAATCTCTGTTTCTACGCGGATCTAAACAAATAGCACAAATAGCTGGATATCACTGTAACACTTATACAAAAGGTTCGTGGACGGCATCCGCTTATAGCCTGTCTAATCTTATAAAAAAAGATGTACGGAGCAGTGCCCAGGATTTCTTTCAGCTTACTCATCTGGTCAACAAAAGATTGTGGATTCAACCTGGTCCCAGGTGCATCTGTCTCTCTGTTTGCATCAAATCCAAAAAATGAAATCATCTCATGCAGATTATTCCCGCTGAGTAGTCTGGTCACAAAATAACTCACCAGCCCATTGTCTGTGTGCCGTAGTTCCACGTTGTCTACACTGACGGAAACATCGACATTGATGGCGAGTTCTGCCAAGGCGGTAAAATTGACGGGAGTAGTAGTGTGAAGATGGATGGGAATCGGGACATGAATAGAGTGGTATTTCACGAAAGGCGCTGAAGATAAAAGGTTTGGCACTTGCAAGAAACTTAGACACCTAACAGCTTGTAAGGATTCTGTTTGCTCAGTATGCTGAATGCTGTTTTTTTTTTTTGGGGGGGGTTTATAGGTTCGCGAAATTCACTCTTAATATTCCAATCTAAACTTACTGGACACCTTTTTTGTCTTCTTTTGTAGGGGATTGCTTTCTAACAGTAGAGCTTGTTTCGGTTTATTCAGTAAAAGCGTCTACACATCTTGCTTGCTTCCTTGAGAAAACTTCGTCATAAAGTCAGGCACGTGGTTCAAAATTTCTCTGGGGTGTCACAGTTCATGCGAGTGCAGCCGGTGCCCCTAACTAAGACAGCTGGTAAATCTCAATCTGAGGGAGCTTTGGGTTCATTAGCATCAACTCTAGTGTTCAGTGATTTTGGTAGGATTTCTGAAGGCTCCATAATTACTTGTCAATGTATGGAATTTTGTGGAATTGTCCTCTTGAAGAAACAGAAACAGAATGATTTTCTACATCAAAATACAGTTCACTATTGATCCTGTTAACCCGATATGTGAAAACACGTATGCATGCATCATAAGTATCAATCGACTTATTGTGATTTCCGGTCCATTTATTTAACGGGTCATTTAGGAACGAATTTTTTTCTTTATCTCACGGACAACCAATGCTTCCTGTAAATGGTCCCTCATATTATTGTTGGAAAGAACGATTTACTGACTGATCGTCCTACGATTTGGTTTAACCAGCCAAAAGCACATCTCAAACTTTTACATGTATATCGTATTCTGAATAGTGATCGAAAAGAAACCGGCCATTTCTGCACTGAAATGCTTCGCCCTAATTTGTTGAACCATCTAGACTGCTATCGATCGCAGGAGCCTTTGGACCACCAGTTTTCGCTCAAAAAGAAACTTATGCAACCTCTAAACTTGTGCTGGCTCGGTCCCACGAACTTCTGTGATATTGAAGTCACTACCTTGATTTCTTGACTGACTGACCCATGTACCTACCATTCACCCACTTCTGCTAGATTCTCTTTTCCCTTCAGTAAGGCGTGCGTAGCGTCTATATTCACGTACTCCCTTCTAGTTGATTTCTGGTATCATATAAATTTGTGATGTATTAGTCAAAGGGGACAACGTGAGAAAACAAGCTTTGTTTGATACCTTTGTTCTCCTTTTGAATTCCAGCGGTATATTCAGTCATTTGAATATTTCGCATCAAAGTTACTACTTCTGTGCTGACTCAGCTGCCCAAAATACACTGTGCTCAGGAATTGAACAATATTTTACTTTTCCAGAAACTTCATAGAACTGACTGACTCTGGATCGGCCGTTTTTCTTCTGTTGGAAATCGTCAACAGCGTGCGTCTCACGAAAATCCAGTGAACCGCATTTACTTCGTTGGAAATGATAATTCACCCGGTGAGTGAACCTTCCACCTGAGTCGTTACTCGGGGTACCAGTCAAAATGCAACCACATGAGGTGGATGCAGGGGTTGGAGAAGGAGTGGAGTCATATCCTGTCTAGGTCGGCCTAAATATTTGATCTTCTACTAGTCGCCGGGAAATCATTAATTCGAAACGCTCTTGGGTTTAACTAAACGGGCAAGACTGATGAATTTCAGTATGGATGGGGTAGCTACAGAGTGCTCCTAGGCTATTAAGCATAGGTCAGTTTTCCTTATTGGACGAATTTACTAGTGACTTGAATTAGTTAAAAGGAGGACTCCATAAAAATCGATGTAAATAAGTATTTGGCGCTCTGCACAAGCATCTTATTTATTTGGGACAACCTAACAGTGTTTCGACCAGTTTTTGTTGCTGAAACATAGTTTGCTACAGATTCATAAGGAAGAACAAAACAGTCAGTGTCTCAACTCTCGATTTCGGAGGATCAATCCATCGGTTAATGTGCTTGAAGGCATTCACACAAACTCCCTGATAATAGAGTGCAAGTACAGTTTTTGTCCTCTCTTTGTTCCCCTAGTTGCTAAAAACGAGGAGGCGTGTTTTACTTTTTGTCAAGGATGCTGCCGAGGAGTTTTCAGCAGTGGGTTGCAGCCTTGTGAATAGTTTCCTTTATGAAAATATGCTGCGTATCTCAAATATCGTTCCAACTGAAACATGAGGCGGCCTGTAGGCAGCACTTTCAGTTGTAGAATATCATAAACGAGAGATTCCGTTGAGTCTCTCGTGAAAATCAAATTGATTTGCAAATGAGTGTATTTTTCGTAAGTAGTTCCATGTTTGAAACGGTTGCCTTAAACATCGTCACAAAGTATACGCAAGAGGAACTTCCATATAGTTATCAGTGTGAATATATCCTGAGAACCTAAACACCTAGTCCGCGAGCAATTAACTAAACCACAGTGAAAAACGGTGATCAAAGTCAATCAGAAGTGAAAATAGCTGCGCTATGTAAGGTATGTTTTCTCGGACATAAAAGAGAACTAACGGATTAACATCTCTCGTTACCTAAATACAATGTTCGGATTTTGGTTGAAACGCGAATCTTTATCGCCGATGATGATGTGTGGCCATAGCTGCGAATTCCAGAAAATTATATATTTTTCCAAACCATGGTAAAGTACTAAATTTGGACTCACATAGGCGTTTTACTTCAAATATATTAAAATACGTTGTACCATGATTGGAGACCGCTTTTAATTCTAAATCACCAAAAGTATTGAAATTTTTGCCTTTTAAGCCGAAATATTTGATTCTTCACTGACAGAAGATATTCTCACAGTCTTACCGGAAGCATTGCCCATCTGTTGGTTACAGAATTCTAAGTAGCCCAGTCTTTTTCCCTCAGAACAACGACCCAGATTTTTTATTACAAAAAGCTGCCTGAGAGTGGGAATTCCGGTGCTTGCTTCCTCAGAATCGTTTAGCACTTCACAATATTCTCGCTTCTGTCATTGCCAGAAAATCACTTGCAATTCATGCAAATAAAACTTTAGGTAGTGAGAAACTAGCTAAATTTCTGCTATTTTATCACTTTCATCTGACATTTGCACCAATTTAGTGAGGTTTTATTCTCTTCTACAGAGCCCGAAGCGAAAAACGCTTTACTTTTGTGGCACAATCCCGGGTCGTAATCAAATAATCTAAGCTTGCTAGAACTTTGTTCATACCAATGATTCTTCAATACAAGCCACTGAAGCCTACTATATTTTTGACAGAATCATAATAATTATTGGGAAGAGTCATCTTTTTAAACAATGTATGTCACTTTTAGGACATTTTGAATGCATTTCCATTTGTGAATTCCTCCTTTAAAAACGTACTGCACAAGCTTCATTGTTTCTATCAGTGCTTTCAGGAAAACACCAAGTTATCTTACTTGGCTTACTGATTTTTTGCAAAGTATATTCTTCAGAAAAACAGTTTGGACGGACATAACGCACTACTCAACGATTCAATAACAAGTCTTGAAAATTCCAATACTGACTTATCCCGTTTTTTTAGTCTACTAGATAGGGAGAGTACCAAATTTTTTCAACAGAGTGACAGTGGTGTGTCCGAATATAAACGACAAAAAGAACGAAAATATCAGAAAAGAAAAAAGAAGACAGAGGTTCAGCATCCCGTAAACTGGTCTATTTTGACAAACAGGATAGACTCCTAAAATGCTCTCTCACATTTTTTAGGATCAGGCAACCGGCAGTAGGTTACACAAACGCTTTGAAGCACTTTTCCTCCCAAGTCTCGAACTGGATGACTCATGAGGATTAACAATATTTATTTTTCATGTACAGGCTAGTCCCGGAAGCAAGGTAAGTTCTTCATACATCTTTTGTTTACATTTTACAAATGCCACAGTAAATCATTTACGTATAGTTTTTTTGGCATTATTGGTGATCGGATATGACCTCATGGAACGGAGATACATGGGCGTTTAAAAAAAACCTGTTAACCACCTAAATGCTGTGCACGATAATTCTCAGCTGAACTCCGGAGCAAATTTTATCCATAATTTGTATAGCGGTTCCTTGGATATACAAGAGAAGAATTACGTCATAAGCGGTTGAGATCGCTGTACTCTTCACAGTGGTGGGATTATTCCGTAATGAACGAAAGTCAAACATCAGGTTTTTCTTTGAAAAGGATTTAATTTTTCGTAAGCGAGCTATGGAAGGGCACTCATTTGGTTCACTAAGATTGTTACAAAAGCGAGTGAAAGACTTTCGCTCAGAACATTTTCTTGTATTGACTGAATGTACAGTATTGTCTGCGAACACACCGATGGATCAAAATTGAGTACTCATGAAACATACCTGACGGAAGTTGTGGAGCAACCGCTGGACCGGGAAGGAAGCGATACAGTTGATTCCATAATTGCTGCAACAGTTCTGGGCTGCAATGAAAAAATAAATGAATTTTTAGGTAGGAGTGCGAGATATCTGTTCCCTGGCAGATCGTAGATCAAACGATGCAGGACCTATGGTGTTCCCATGGGATTCGTGACAATCCCTGACGAATATAGAGCACAGTGTTTGTGCCAAAGACATCTGCACCACAGAAAATGAATAACCTGCAACAGAAATCCCGAAGCAGCATTTGATGAGCAGTCCGTACGGGAAGATTGTTCTCTGGATCGCCATTTCAACGAAACCTTTGTTGACTGATTTACTGGCAAATGCTTATCTTTCAATCACGCTACCGCTTAGATATCACCTAAGGGGGGTCAAATATTGTCAGTCGGTTTTTTCTAGCACGCTTGATATATGGGAGGAGAAGAGCACTGACTCATCCAGTGATTCGTAGATCACCGCTGGTGCTGAGGTGCAGCACACCAGTATATGTACAATGTATTCACAGCTGATGTACTTTCACCTTGTCACCAAAAAAGGTTTTCTCAAGATAGAATACTTTACATCTTATTCATACCGGCGATTTTTTAGTTCTTAGTTATTTCCATACTGGAGAAGAAAGAAGGCACAAATCAAAGTCCGCTAGGCTTATGATCCACAGGAAACCACTTAGCGAGCAACCGCCAAGTCATGGTGGTTCGGTGAGACAGTGCTGAATTTACAGGTGTTGAGTGGAAACAGACGTTAGATCCAAGAGCGCACAAGATGCATACTGGGTGCAGGAGCTCGGTTCTCGCAACCTGAACGGACGTTAATTCACATATGTCCACTCAGTAGTCGTCAAAACAGCCGTTAGCGGTAGATATGCGAATCATGCATTGTTTGGAGCTTCTTTGCGTGTATTTTGACGGTATAGAATCATGCTTTCAGCTAATAGCAGTATTCTGGAGAGATCTTCCCTGCTTACAATTGACACTGTTTAAAAGAATCACTGAGAACTGGGCTATACTTAGCTTACTTGCAGGGAAAATTACCCGCGTTCGTAAACGTAAGGGATAGGGCGTATGAAATAATACAGACCGGGGTATCATGCAGTCCCTTCCTGAGGAAATGTCTTGTGCAGAACAACACTGGCTATAACATACATTCGACTTTCTGTCTCAGTATATCGCGTCTAATTAAAGATCCCTCTAAACGTGGAAGTGAGAAAAATGGGTTTGCGGGATAACCTTATTTCGTCCACTATGTTCTGCATGGCGTAATGTACATAAACTAGCACAGCGTACGGTTTTCGTATGACTTTGAACTAACTCAGCCGGTCTATAAAACCAAGCGAAACTCATGTTGACATCTAAATCTTTCTGAGCGCACATGATAGCCTAATAAACCCGCGGAACTTCAACCTATGCAGTCACCGTCTTCGTGGAAAGACCTGGAACAACGAGTTGAGTTTAGCTCTGCAACGTTTTCCGTTTAGGGGCCTAGCGATGGACGATTTGACCCTGGATTCGATCAACGTTGAATTCAGGTCAGCTGACATGATGTGGAGATCTTAATCGGGTGTTCTTTTACTCGTATCCGTCCTGTAGATACACCAACTACAGCATTTGCGGGCGAACTGATATATGCAGTGAGTTGTACATGAAACTGAAGTCGGCGTTTTGATTGCTGGCAGTGCCGTAGCCCATAAATATGCCTTCGCACATAACTGTGCTGCACTGTAAGCCCGGTGTGGTTGTACGTTAAGTGCCCATTAAAATAGGCTGAAAGAATGATCACTGGTTTAAGGAATACCACTGTAGATGTCTTTTTAGGTGCGGTTAGTAGCACTGTTGGTTTGTCCCTCGAGGCTGGATGTTTTTTGATGATGCGGTACTGGCAGTTATTTGACCAGAGATTGCTCAGAGATTCCGTTTCCTCCACGATAGCATTTGAGGTGAATATCTGTCCATTCCTATGGAAGTAAGTCCACTCCAACGCATGCCTTCACCGTAAGGGACAGAAACACATGGAGACTAGTTATTCTCCACTCCGATATACGCAGCAAGACATGGTACTATCGGTAATTGTGGTGTCCGAACCCATCAAAAAGGAAGTCTGTTTTCCTGTCCAAATTTACAATTAAATGCTAATTTGTGTGTAAATGAAGATTTTTCTAGCCCGAGAAATTACTGGCTTACCCACTGCTTATGCGATAAAACATCTTTTTGTGTGCTTGTCAGCCCCTGGGTACAAAACGGCTTCTCTTACTAAGAGGTAATTAGATTGTCGTTTACTCACAAACGTTTCTTTTTGTTTTGTTCTGATCTTTAGCGTGTTGTTATAAGCACACCAGATCATATTTCACTGAAATTAAAGAGTAGATTCCCACAACTGGGTCGGGGTCGCAAGTGTCTTGACCTAAGTGTAACTTGTTGAACATTCCTCCGTATTATCTTTCAAGGGAGTTATTCTAAAGAATTTCGGTTGTATTTTCAAAGATTCTAAAAATCACTTGGCTGCCTTGTGTTTTCGGTTTATTAACCTTTGATCCACAAGTATCGGCTCCAAAGTGCTTTCTGGGATTCATTCATGCTGCTCATTCTATGACGTATGTGGATTGCTCAGATGACTGTATAGGATGTTTTCTGTTCTGATATGCGATAAGTTGCAATATTCACGCTAAAAAAACTGCTGTGACCTGGAAATATTTCAGAAGTCTAGTTTGGCGGTTTTTCCAACAACACTGTTTTTCTTGTGTACCGAACATTTTGTGCATTAAAGCTGATTCTTCGGTTGTTTCCAGCAAGATTTGTAACTTTTTGGATAAAAGGAAAACCTAAAAACCAATTCAAAAATTCAATTAAAAACACGGCTAATAGACCTCTGAGAAGTCCCTGAGCAAAAATGGGAAAAATTCCGTCATATAACACAAGAAATGCAGGTTTTTGGAAGCTAATGTAGTGGCTCAGAGTCGCGGTAGCCTAGAACTACGGGCATGCGAATCTAGAAAATGGATATCTTAAAAATGAATATTCTTGAGCAGTGAAGAGCGTGATGTAAAATTTGTCTATAGTACGAAGTATCCGAATTTCTTGATCTTCTGCAGCTGCTTTTAGTCGTGGATAGGTAGGTCCCCAAAGTGATCATGAAATAGAAAATGAAGGGTGGGTTCTTCGTCCCACTTAGTTTAAGGTAAAATCAGTCTCCTTCATCTATCGTTCTAAAGGTACAAAATGGTAAAAGTACGAGATTCCTGGTGATTCTTGAGTTGGTTTAAGCTGTTTCCATAGGTAAGTTCTTTCTCACTTATATAAGAGATTAGCTGTGGACAATATGACACTCAGATATCCCTTCTCAAGAATCAACCCATTCCCGCACAAATTGAAAATTTGAGGCCGTCTTTATACCTGTTAAAATCTGTGCATCAGTGTGTTGTTTGAATTTTTTGTTTTTGTTTTTTATTTGGACTCGGTTGTATAATTGATAGACTTTTGCACTTTAGTTTGATTTTTTCGTCGTAGCTGGTGGATTTGTAATGTGCATCAGTACAGTGTTTCAGATGTTCTTCATAAGGGTATGCGCATATGTAAAACAATTTTAGAATGGCAAACCAACTCGGTTGAATTAAATTATAGCACAAATATAAGAGGGAGAGAGAAAAAATCAAATTTTTCTGTTTTATATGATAACATTTTGCAATAAAAGCAAACTGACATGTCCATATGCACTGAACTGGTTGGTTATACCTCTACAAAGTTGAAAAATATTGGTAGATATATTACTCGGGGAACACCTTCTAACATCGAATTAAACCACTCCAGCCCAAGTAATGAAGGTAGGGCAATCCGGCTAGGATGGTCATGTCATCAACCTTTCGGCATTGGAAGTGAATGGTGTGCATGGACCAGACGCAAAAGGGCTTTCACCGCTCAGTAGTCATTTAGCGTAAAATTTCTATGTATCAAAGTAGGCTGCCTCGAGAGATATATGGGGTAAAATACTTCTTCGATAGCGGCTTCATCATAAGGGCAATTCGGTTCCCCTTGATGGGTAATCGTCAGCAACCGGCTACTGGTGAAAACGAAATGACGAAGCTTCCATCCTGGTTGGTTGAACAGCAAAACTGATTATCAGTTTTCACATAAATCAGGATTCGATCTTGTGTTTGCAGCCTGTGATGATTTAGGATATGATTACGAAAGAATATGTGCCCGGTTGTTGGTGGGAAACACTTATCCATCTTACACTGGTTTCCACGTCTACTATTCAGAGCACCAACAAATGAGCGAAGTGTTCAACCAACAATTTCCTTGGTGTTACTGCGTTTTGCGATGCAGTCAGATGGTGCAGTGCACTCTGAATGATTAATCACTGGCATGGATGCAAATTGCAATGCATTGTGTCAGTTAACTGGTTGAAAACTGCGTGTCTAATAGGTGATGTCATGTAATTCGGCAGCCCGGAAACGGAGTGCTAGGAATAACCGGCTTGTTGCTTAAGGATCTTAAGCTGGTTGAAACTGGGTGATGGATTAAAAAATTCACAAGCGTCGCAAGCGTCGTAAGCGTCCTGACAGCTAAAGCTGAGTTTGAAGCAAACCGAATTAACAAGCTGCATGCTGAGGAGGGTTGTGTACGATAACCTACAAGTATAGTCGGGACCCTAGTTGGCCACCCATGAAAGGTCAATTGCCCCATGTTTATAACGATCCCCGTTTGAAGGTGTTCGGTCCAATTCAGAATGGCGAACAACTTCCGGCCACCTGTTCTAGTGTTGATGAACCCATCAACCAGTTGTTTGTCGCTGTCCAAGCGGCTTTTGCTTGTTTAAGGTCACGTGACCGGCATTTTTATTCCGACTAGTCCCGTACCATCATAAAAATATTGTACAGGGGACGTTTTTTGAATTCGTTTGTGAATTTCCTATTAATGTCGGGCGGCCTATGAAGTTTCTCATGGCGATCAACAGCAATGCAAGAACACTATGAAATTTAGCTTACCTGACTAAATCAACAGTTTAGACGGGAATTCACATATCATAACTATGCGAAATGAAACCATCTGTTATCTTACTGTGTCCGTACCGACACATTTAACAGTGTCATAGCAAAAGAACGAACGATGCGCGTTTTTGTAAGCACTACCTTCACATCCTGGCATTCTAAATACCGCACTACAATGTGCGTTTTCCGCTTCAGCTGGGCTAGTTGATGTTGATTCACGATTCCTTCTATTGCCTACACCTCGGATTCCTGTATATAGTTTACCATCAGCATATCAGTTTTGATAATTAGCTGAGGAGAGCTTGGCGTGCATCTTGAAAATACGAGATTTGTTCTTCGTTGGCCCAAATTAGTACTACAATGCCTCTCAAGACGGAATGTATTGGAAACACAATGCACATTTGTAGCCTATAAATTGAATTTTCCCAATAGCTGAAAGAGAGCTACTTCGCTTTGGTTTCCAGGACTAACCGACCGCCTTGTGTACCTTGCACATGACGTAGAAATGATACATTGTTGTGGTCGTGACTTTCTTGCCAAAAGCTTTGTTGTGTTTCTTCCAGTCACAATCAGCTTGGATTATGGATTTTAGCAGGTGAGGATGGAACGTCCACAGTGAATGTTCAAGGATGCATGCTAACCGGTGTATCAAATGTTTTTTCTCTAAATTATAGACGTGATGGTTGAGCACTGAAACTGAAATTACGCTCGGCCTGCTACAGTCAATATGGTGTTTTCCTTGACTGACAGAATCATGAATTGTTACAGTAATGTGAAAGTAACGACCAACAAAAGCACGATGTGCATACACTTGATGGGCAGAGTATAGCTTTCCAGTTGCTCATCTGAATGGAGCATTTACGGAAATATCTAGGCACTGCCGTTATATTTCGCATGATTTAAACAAGTGATAAACAGTAACGTCAAACATTGTTTTTGGTCTTTACTCACATTTTATCTATTGGAAGTCTATAGAAAATCAATGGATCAAACAATTAAAAGACATTTTCAGTCACCAAAATTTCCACTCAGTCATGAATAATGTGCTATTTGGATTGGTTTAGACAGGGAAACCATCTTACCGTCTCTTTTTTCACATCAAGAAACGAGTTCACTTTCTTGTATACTGTAAGTAAGACACCTGCACAAATCCGCTTCAAGTTGTAGCCTTAGCACTCTTGTTCCCGAGCGGTCAGCTGGTGTAAGCCGTTAATTTTGCGTGACGTTATCCGTCTTGTTACAGTAGCCGTATCATTTCTGTGTGTTCTTTTAGAAACATGTTACTTTCATCGGCTGCTTTGCTATCACTGTGCTAGTAAATTTACTGCGAAATTCCCGGTATGTAATTACGGCCTGATGTAGGTGACCTGTTCGGTAGATGTGATCTAAACAATCTTGTCCAGCTCAGGATCCATTCAGAACTTTCACACTCTCGCACTCGTTTCAACTGTTGACACAAGATAGCTAGAAACAGCACTGCCTCTGGTGTTAGCAACAACGAGGTCTACAATCATTGTAGTGAAACGGTATGAGTTCGTCCAATTGTCTAATTTACGGCTGCATTATTTGTGGTCCCGTTGATTCACACTATGCTTGGATAATGCTCTTTTTCTCTGATTTGGCCCTAACTGTCAAGTTAAAAAGCAACAGCGAGTTCATACTTAAATATTAGCATACAGTGTATTCGCAGTTGTTCAGCACAATGACTTGTCAGAACATAGTTCCGTCTCCACTAAGAAAGGCCTTAGAATGAATGCGTCTTGAATAAAAACAAGATTTGTTCTGGGCACAGAATAGCAGTAATTTCATGAGGCTTCCAGCAAAAACAGTGCTGGAGAAACAGTGCAAAGAGGAATCAGATTCTAGTTGCTCTGGTTTCGAACTGTTCACAAAGTTGCTTCTTCGTGAATTATCCTGAGGATTAGTGTTGAAATATGGATTATAGTGTAACTACCTAGTAATGCTATCGTACGCCATTAATTTCCATTGTTATGCTATAAAGAATACGTTGGTATTACCCCTAACCGACTGTTGTATTGGTGTTCAGTTTTGGAATAAGCGCCTACTGGGTTATCATCAGCCGAACAGTTGAGTAAATCAGCGTTCCTGTTGTTCCAGGAGCACAAGAAATTGAGTTGCACGTTTCACTTTTGACGATCTGGTGCACATGAGTGCTGATGCTGTCATGGCGCTTTCAGCAACTTCAAGACGTTACCTATTAAGGCTGGTGCGAATCTAGCTACCGAAATGGAGAACCTGGATTTGCACTCCGTAACGTGCTTGCTCACAGACATCTCAATAATTTATACCCACACCGCCGTTTCTTAAATGACTGGAAGTAAAATTTGGACGCTTCAAAAATGGGTGTGAATTTCTTTGCCAGCAGATACATAATGAAAGTTTGGCGCATGAAGTACGAATTCATCAGTCCAAGTTTGTGTGCTTTTTCCTGTCATCCACCAGAACTTTGTGTCGCATTGTGCTTAACGTGATTGCGAAAACCTATTCACCACTTTCCTTTACTCAGAAACATTCCGCAGATGATGAAACTTAAGAATAATATGGTCGCAGTGACCTAACGTGGTTCCGAAAAATGAGATTCAAAGGCAAACTATTGATCTGCATGCATGAGTCAATTTTCTCAATACGTCATCCTGTAAATATTTTTTCACTACGGCGTTTATAATAAGATTACTTTCCTTTTATGAATTCTTTCTGGCAAGCCAACATACTTTAAAAAAAATTCATGACGTATATCACGTAAATCACGTACTCGTTGGTGTTCGCAGCAGACTTGGACAAACAGGTGAACAGAAGGGAAACGAGCAACAGATGGATTTTGATCATGGTGCACACACGCCGGTGCACTGTCATCCTGAGCCTGTCGTGTTCATTGAAATCAAGCTGATATAATAAAAAGTATCCAGGGTGGAGGCTGATTAGTCCTTCCACAATAACCAAAAGCGTTTAATCCAGTTACGCATTAGGAATGGTCGGAATGTCACGCACAGGTCTTTTTGACATGGCGTGTAAGGGAAGCGTCTGATTGGCCAGTTGGCGTCCCACTATGATTGGATAGTGCGGACTGCGTAGTCGTCCTATCTGATTTAACGGTACGGAAACAAGGACCTCTTATACCCGTACTGAAAACCAAGCAGGTATCGGGCTACCCAAGAGTTTTTCCATAAATATCTCCATATCAAAGGAAAGTACGACCGATTTTTTCACCACAGCGGAATTACCCCGATTGTGCTGACGCCCGACCTAAAGCAGGAGGCGTATCAGACTGAAAATTTCCTAACAAGTATAAGCATGAACTGATTTGAGATGTCCATGCTGAACCAAGCGAGGTCTAACAGAATTATTTTGATTTAGTCAATCGTCACTTGAACAAGGCCAGATGCGGACAACAAAAGTGGAGAGGAACGATCAATTTGGAAATATATGTAGGACTTCAGGTGTGCCATGAGGCACAGTAGGTGGTGGATGCGAGATACAATGAAGAATAAATAAATGGTCGTTGGGAATAGAGGCACACTTTAGAACTCTTGTGAGACAGACGGATTCAGGTGGATGGTCAACTGGATGGTGACAACCGTTTATACTAAGCAAATCAGGCAAACGGTATAAGGAGTATGACATACCGTGCTAAGCGGACCGTCAGGATTATTTTCGAGTAGATGCGTTAATAATTTCGGAATCCAACATGGTCACCGTGGAAAGTTATACATTAAACAGGGACAAAAACACTCATTTACATAATTTGCAGGCGCCACTGGTGCACCTCCAGAATCCAATGAGAATGGAGACCTCAGATTTATTTTGGGCCATAAAAGAAACATATGTCTAGAAAAAAGCCTATTTGGACCTTCTGGCTTTTTTGTAAAACTAAAACATCAATGGCTGTTACTTTTTGGAACTGCTTGTTTCGGGAAGCAATGCTTCTTAGAGCCGTGAATAGTATTCACAGAAGGCACAATAGCAAATTAATTATTGTCTAATTATTTTATTTCCTGTAAATTTTAGATCCATTTAGTTCTGGCTTATCATGGAAGCAAAACCGATTTTGATTACCCGCTTTCACTGAATTAAGTAACCTACAAAATGAAATTTCACTCAGAGCATCTGAAATTGATAATCCTTCCTTACTCGATGAAAATAGTGTAAAACTCGTTTTCGAAAAAGTTTGGTGACAATCGGTAGATTTACTGCTGGGCAACGTTTCGCTCTTGACACAAAAGCTTCGTCAGACCAAGTGACTAGATTCCGAGGTTGATGGAGATTCAAGGCGGAAGGAGAACCAATCAGTTAAGTCAAGCTAAATCTCTGTTGGGTGTCGGCCGAAGGATTTTTGTGTGTTAGAGTGGTTGAACAAGTGTTGGGTCGGTGGGGGAACCTGCATGTGTTTGGGTTCAGCCTAGGGTCTAGTTCTTCTGGTTCGGTTCATTTGATGGTTCCTCTTGAACTTCGTTTGAACCTTCTGTCAGTCTGTGTGGGTGAGCTAGTGCTAAGATAGTTGTGTAAGAGGGATGCTGTGACCTTTGGTCGGTTGGGGTATTCACCTCACCTCCGGCTTTTTTTCTAATGATTGTGGATTGGCAACCACACCGTCACGTGCCAGCTCGGCTNACTTCCACATTCCCCAGATCTATTCTATGTCCCATGTCTAAGGCATGTACTGCCATCCTCGAGTCTTTGACCAGCGTTTGGTACTCTTCTGTATTCCTCGGTGGTTTTTTAATCCTTCTTTTATGCTCACCAACTCTGGTGTGAAATTCCCTGGCAGTTTGTTCTATATAAACCTTAGCGCAATCGTTGCAGTTAACTTTATACACAGTTCGTAGTCCTTTCAAGTCATACATGAACGACAGAGAACCCTTTCCATTCGGCGCTTCATCGTTCCTTTCTAAGGTCACCCACACTTTATCAATAAATTTGTGGGGGATATGACAATCACCGACCTCTGGAACTTCCAACAACTCGACTGACATGACAGTTAACATATCGTTTTGTAGAATTTTAGTTCATTTTATTGTTGCTTAGGCAGCCCTTCTCGCATTCACTCACCAGTTTTCCGGTAAGTTGGCACCTACAAAGGGAAGTACTGAGGTTCCTACTGCAGTCCGTTAGTAGTGCATAACCATGACTGGCATACAAGGCGAACATGTTTCTTTTATCAACGAGAGAGCAGGTCAATAAAATTTATATGGCAAGAAAAACGATTGTGTTGTACAGTTCACACGACACGATACCTTTTAGTGATGAATATCTACAACTCGGGAGAAAAGCATAAATTGCGAAGCTTGTTTCAGTGGAAATGACTTGAAGGAAACAACACTTCAGCTAAGATACATTATCTAAAAGTTAAAACGACTTCAGGGCACTTTCTTCATAGACAACAAACCATAAGTGATAAAAAAGTCAAGAATTTGGCCCGACGTTGGCCATTACGGAAGAATTTAAGAATGAAACCAGGCGACGTCGTACCTGCTTTGAATTCACTCTATCGATCTCCCACCTGATCCAGAAATCAGAGTTTGCCAGTGGGAATCATTTCCACCCACCAAAACGCAGAATAAAAAAGAAGCTTTTATTTAGTTCAAACGATATATTTAATATTTTTGTAGCTGAAAAGGGCGGCAGCTGAGACCACGAAGCCAAAGCAGTAGGACACTAATTTCTTGGATCATATACGAAAAAATCTAGAACTGTTTGGGCAAATAACTCTGGGAATTCAAGCCAAAGGGTAGACGACAAGTGTAGTCTGCTGTTGCTCTCATACCAAACAGTAGTAAGAGAGATCATGCAATTTACATGGGATCCATAAATCTAACTTTCTGTTTTGACAAGCTGTCGATTTTATACTGTGAACAACCTATAGACCACTGAGATGGTCGAACACTATACCCGGCANCTTGGTCGTTGGTCGTTATGGCGGGCGACGCGCAGAGTACAGGCCTTGAATACCTGAACAGTCAACCACCAGTCAGCGCATCTAACAGCTTAAGTACCAAAGTATACCCTAGACGCTTTCGATAAGCTCCTTAAATTCTACATTCGTTAATCGAACTTGATAGCAGACAACTGATACGACGTCGTCCGTTTGGTTGTCTCTTTACTCACTGTTTAACCGTCCTTGCCCCTAAACGATCTGTTATATTCCAGTTGAAAATACTGGTTTTTTATGGGATTGCAAACGGCACATTTCTCTTATCTTTGTATGATTCAACTATGTCCAGGCTATCTGGTAGAGTGCGGCACCTTGTATTGGTTGACCTTCGTTTGTTCGAAATTGCCGACTGCTTTAAGCTGCAGTCGACTGAAGCATCTAGGTGCCTTTGTTTGAATAACCGAAAGATTTTTAACTGGCTGGGGGCGGTCCCTCAACTCCGATTCTCTAGTGGAGGATACTTTCGTTACCCTGTGAAGCGCTGGTCTCACCTTAAACTCTGTGCTCTATCGTAATCATAAATCCGCATTCAAAAGTTCCCTCCACTTCTCGGGTAATCTGTAGTTATCTCCCACTATGGTCCTGCCGACCTAAAGCTACCACCTTGACGTGGTGCTCGGGCTTCAGTGCTGCAACGATCTCGCGGGCTACACTGGCTGGAACTTCGTTCCACAAGGTGCAAC